CTAGACTGCCAGTCTAGCCGTCATTAAGTACAGCTAGCCTCTTCCATTACTGTATTATGATTTTGATATCTGAAAACATTTTTCACTGTCCCTCTCCCCCTCTCCCCCTCTCTCCCTCTCCGGCTCTTTTCAACATGATACTGAAGGACTGGAAGGGGATACTTAGTAAAACCAGTGGTTCTGCCTGGGGATGGTTATAAAACAGTGTTTAAAAGGACTATCAACTTATCACACACATTGAATGTCCACTTGGTGAATCGATCACGTAGTGTCTTCTTGAAACCGCCTCTAACCAACAGAACTCACCGGAATGTTACTGTAGACAAGGCAGACTATGTGAACAAGATCGACGAGGAAGAAGAGACAGTTCCAGACCAGCACGTCCAACATGCAGACGAAGAGGCCCGCCCAGAGGACGAAGAAGAAGAAGGCGACGAGGAAGAGGCATCGGAGGAAGAGGAGATGATGACGAAAACTGCTGGGGGTGAGCAGGGATACAGCAGCGCACAGATTGGCCAATTGGAACAGCGTATGTTGAGCGTCCTGCCAATCGCGACAAGCGCCCCATTCAGAGGAATCAGATCCGTCATCGGAGGAATACACGTCGTTACCATGGTTACCCGTCCCGTAGGCTCCGCCCTTAGCTAAGCCGGAGCCTCCGTCGTCTTTGGAAATTCCCGTTCTGACGAAAGGGCTGCTGAGATTGAAGTCGTAGTTTGAAAAGTTTGTGAATGGGGTAAGCAGGAGACGCTCTTCCGCCATGGTCGTTGGAGTCTCGAGACGCCACTTAGTCGTGTTGAGTCCCTTTCTGGCCTACCCAGGCTACTGTTTCTGACGCGAGACAGGTTGTCCAACACAAATCACAGTACTCCGTGCACTTGAGCCATTGTCTTCCGTGTTGCACTTGGGCTTTTGAAAGAGAAATTGAAACATCTTATAGAATTGAAAATCAAATTGTTTCAATACCTGAGGAAAAGAACACTATATTTTAATTATCAGTCATTTTGGTTTAATTTTGTTCTAGGAGCCAGATATAACACGAAGCAGAAAGACGTTACAGTTACAGTGACGTCAAAGAAAGGACGCCTACAAAGTTATAATACAACATGGAAAGAACAGATTCTGATCGCCCACCGTTTCTAGGATGTTTGCTTGTTTGTTCGCAGTTTGAAACTGCTTTCACAGATGTACACTTAGCATATTATTACATCTCTGATGTGGATACGCAAAAAGTATGATAAAAGGGCTCAAACCACGATGAGGTCCAGCAAAAGCAGGATATTAATAGACCTCTGTCTCACCAGCAGAGCCCTTACTGAAAATAGAGAAATATCAAATTGACTATTCGAAGGTAGAAAAAAGAATAGAAAGAGTAAACAAAGAGGTCTTTTTCATCTAAGATACAATTATGCTTGCAATACGTATATGATGTCAAAAGAGATCATCTTCATAACATGGGAACAGACTGCGGACTATCGTAGCCAAAGGCAGAGTGGCGTCAAGACCAGAGGTAAAACGAGACAGAAAGACGTTACAGTCACAGTGACGTCATAAAACAACGCCCACAGAGATACCATTATTATAGAATGAAACAGCATGGGAAGAACATATTCTGATCCCCCACCATTTCGCTAAACTAACCACACACATCATGCTCTGACGTACATTAGCCTAATTAGCCATATATACGTCTTCATCACATGACACAAAAAGCAGGCTAAAACAGCACAAACAGTGACGTATCAGTATCTATCTATCTATCTATCTATCTATCTATCTATCTATCTATCTATCTATCTAT